CAGAGGAAGTAGCACAAAATCCCCGTTGCACTGACTAATGCATCGGTGCTGAGGGAGCTGGCAGAGGTCATTGCTAGGCCACTCTCCATCATCTTCAGTAAGTCATGGGCAACAGGTGAGGTGCCTGAGGACTGGAGGATAGCAAATGTCACTCCAGTCTACAAGAAGGGCAAGAAGGAGGACCCGGGTAACTATAGACCGGTCAGCCTCACCTCCATCCCTGGAAAGGTGATGGAACAACTTGTTCTTGGCACTATCTCCAGGCACATCAAGGACATGGGGGTCATCAAGAGCAGTCAACATGGTTTTATCAAGGGTAAATCATGTTTGACTAACCTCATAGCCTTCTATGAGGAAATTACTAGGTGGATAGATGATGGTAGAGCGGTAGATGTGGTTTATCTTGAGTTCAGTAAAGCATTTGACACCGTCTCCCACAGCATCCTTGTAGATAAGTTGATCAGGTATGGGTTTGGTGATCAGGAAGTGAGGTGGATTAGGAACTGGTTGAAAGGAAGGAGCCAGAGAGTTGTAGTCAATGGGGCAGAATCTGGTTGGAGGTGTGTGACTAGTGGAGTCCCACAGGGGTCGGTACTGGGACCGGTGTTGTTCAACATCTTCATCAACGACCTGGATGAGGGTATAGAATGTACCCTCAGCAAGTTTGCTGATGACACTAAGCTGGGAGGAGTGGCTGACACACCAGAAGGCTGTGCTGCCATTCAGAGAGACTTAGATAGGTTGGAGAGTTGGGCGGGGAGAAACATGATGAAATTCAACAAGGGGAAGTGCAGAGTTTTACATTTGGGGAAGAACAACACCATGTCCCAGTACAGGTTGGGGGCTGAACTGCTGGAGAGTAGTGTAGGTGAAAGAGACCTGGGGGTCCTGGTAGACAGGAGGATGACCATGAGCCAGCAATGTGCCCTTGTGGCCAAGAAGGCCAATGGCATCCTGGGGTGCATTAGAAAGGGTGTGGTTAGTAGGTCAAGAGAGGTTCTCCTCCCCCTCTATTCTGCATTGGTGAGGCCACATCTGGAGTATTGTGTCCAGTTCTGGGCCCCTCAGTTCAAAAAGGACAGGGAACTGCTCGAAAGAGTCCAGCGCAGAGCTACGAAGATGATTAGGGGAGTGGAACATCTCCCTTATGAGGAAAGGCTGAGGGAGCTGGGTCTCTTTAGCTTGGAGAAAAGGAGACTGAGGGGTGACCTCATCAATGTTTACAAATATGTAAGGGGTGAGTGTCAGGGGGACGGAGTTAGGCTTTTCTCAGTGATTACCAGTGATAGGACAAGGGGTAATGGGTGTAAATTGGAGCATAGGAGATTCAAGGTGAATATCCGAAAAAATTTTTTTACTGTGAGAGTGACAGAGCACTGGAACAGACTGCCCAGGGAGGTTGTGGAGTCTCCCTCACTGGAGACATTCAAAACCCACCTGGATGAGTTCCTGTGTGATGTACTCTAGGTGACCCTGCTCTGGCAGGGGGGTTGGACTAGATGATCTCTCGAGGTCCCTTCCAGCCCCTAAGATTCTATGATTCTATGATTCTATGATCTCTTATTATCCAATGCACTGTATGGTTGTGGTTCACTAGATATTTACTGTTTCATTGTATGTATCAGCAGGGTGCACCATTACAAGGCTCTAAGATTGATTCTTCCATTCCTTTTTTAATTCCTGCTTGCACTTCTTGATGGATACAGCACAGTTCTCCAAGCAGCCATCTCAATTTGTCCATTCTTAAATCCCCCATTAACCCTACTCCACTCCACGAATCAGCCACTCTCTGTGCCACAGTCTCTATTGCCAATTTTTTTGCCAAGCCACAGCACAATATTCCTCTGGGAACAGCCTTCCCAGTAGACTTCTATGAGACCTCCAATCAAAAAAGTTCTCCACTTGTTAATTCCAGCCCCGCACCTGTTCAATGACTCCTCAGTCCTGTTTTCAAATGAGACCTACACATTCAATAATCAGGATTTCTTCTTCTCTTTGGTTGTAGAAACTTGCATAACAACCCAAAGGTGTGAGTGCACAATGACACCAGTGTCATCTAGACTAGCATGTCAAACATCCCACACAAGTGGGACAGGATGAGAACAACAAGATAATAGTCATAATAATTTTTAAAAAATCAGTAACAACAATACTTTTTTTTTTTTTTTTTCCCAAAAAAAAAGTGAGCAGAAAACAATTCTGCCATTCTGGAAAACTCTGGTGTGCCAAAAATGCACTTTAAGAGTATCAAGAGACTCAATCATGAGATTTTTCACAGCAAGGAGTTATTCAATTAGCAAAGAATTGTCAGCACTTAATAGCAGTCTAATCAATAGTATGAATGGCTTTAAGAAATAAATGAGCAGGCATCCACCTGTTAAACTCATTCATGATGTGTTAGGAATGAAAATAAGATATGATAGGGATTCCCTTTAGATTTGTGTGTCTGGCTTATCTCCTCCTATCAGTCAAGCTACCTGGCCAGCTGCTCATGTCAGTAAAGGCTGTTCTGGTTTATGCCACTGAGGGCAGAAGCAGTCAACTGACTGTTAAAAGCAACCAGTCAAGGAAAAGGTAGGAGACATGGGAGACCCAGCTCTGATCTTCAGTCTTGACCCCAAGTCTCCTGTGCCCACAAGGAGAACTTAGACCATCTGTGTCCTGACTCTCCTGACAGGGTCATTTTCACTCTTGGGCTACATTTCTCCCTGAAAGTCTTTCTCAGGGCATGTTTCATAGTAGATCAACTTAAAATACCACCCTGAGATGCAAACCCCGATTGTGCCTCCATGACCAAGGAGCTTCTTGCACTCTGTAGGTGTCCCCACTGGATTGCAGCTGGGGTAGCACCAGCAGGGCAATTCCCATGGTCCTACTGGTAGATACAGAGGAGGCAAGTGCCTGTCACCTGCAATCCCGCAAAAAAATATTGAGCAGTGAAAAATCTGAACCTGCTGTCAGTGCCCTCCACTGTCAGCAACTACAGGCAGGTTTGGTGAGCAGTTCCTGCAGCTGACCTTACCCACCTGCAGTGCAGGCACCTGAGGCTCCTTTGTATTCAGCAGGCACCTCTAAAACTTCCACTGCATCTTAAAATAGCAGTCCCAAGTGGGCTAGATAAAACAAATCCTGTTTCTATCCCAAACCATGAAACAACCGAGAGTGACCGGCACAGATGAAGATGTCTGAAGTTGAGGGAGAGGAGTCCCTCTGTGTGTGGCTGTCCACACATTGCCTGGGGAGGTACAGACCTGGTGAATCACACCAAGCCTCTTCCTGGGAGGGCAGGTTCATCCACAGGGCTCTCACAAACCTATGGCCCTGAGCCCCACCTACCAGAGGTGGGAAAATACGGGTTTAGAGGGAACTCAGGGCTATGAAATAAAAGCAGTGGGGTACAGAAGAGGTGTTACATGGAGACCTTGCACCAAAAAAATGGGAAACATCTTCCTAGAGAAGAGTTTGTTCTTCCACAGAACTAGCCCTGGCTGGTTTGCGTGGAAGGATGGACTAGCAAGAAAGCCAAGAACTTGCAATGGGTTATTTTGTCACAAAATACCTGCATGTCCTTCTGTCTGCAGAACCTTCTGCAAACAAACAGGATCACCCACGGTCACTGATGTGAAATCAGTACTTGTGTGCTCAGTAGTGGACAGTTGGCTTCTGCAGGAAAGTTCTGTAGTGCTCACTAACAGACCTGGGTGTGCCCA